CAAAATCCTGTTTCTTAGAAAGGAACAGCACTATAGAAAGGGATATTGCTAACTGATTATAAACATCTAATTAAGGATAGTCCTTTCAAGCCAGCTGCGCAAAAAATATTTCATATAGCATGTTGCAGGAGAAAAATAACTCCAGCAGGTTTCAATTAAGACTCCACCATATGGATATTACATCTGCAGCAGGAAGGCTCAAACACCATGTCACAACTAAGACATTTTTATGTCTCCAACTGAAAGCACTTAAACTGCTTGGAATAGAAGCATATGGGCCATAACATCCCCAATTAAGCAGACATTTTGCTGAACTGAGAGCCTAGAAGACATATGAAGCTAGAACTTACTGTATTCTTGGTCATGCATTGTAGCCTACAACTTTTAAGGGATACAAAAAAAAGCTAAGAGCATATAGCATGTAACGTTTAGTTCCCTCCCCATTCAGCCAAAGCAGAACCCGGCACGAGTCCCACAGGGATTTTTAGCCGGGCACTGAAGGATGGGGGTGCAGAAGGGCACTGCTCTCTGGAGCGGTTTACACACAAGCACAGGCTCCCCTGGTCACCATCTCACCCAGCCTCCTGCTTAAAGCAGGGTCCAAACAGAAGCCTGGCCAAGATGCTGAGGGCTTTAGCCATTTGGGTGTTGTAAAGGAGTGAGGTGCCACAACCCCTGTGGGCCCCCATTTCAACAGCCCCCTGTACTCCCAGGGAGCAATATTCTTCCTTAAGCCAAGCTGGACCCTCACCCATTTCAACTCGCAAAGCTTTGTCAAGTGATAGGATTCTCCATCCAACTACTCAAAGATGGAAAACATTTAGGGGTTTTTCCTTTCAGCATCAAGAACACTATCTCAAGAAACATGTTTTGATGAACCCAAGAGCTGTGCTGCTGCCACTGCGCCCTCTTGGGGCACGAAGGACCAGGAGCCAAATCTGGAGCATTATTTTTCGACGTGCAGCTGGACCCGAGAACCCCAATTCCTCTTTACTAGAAACAGATGTCGGCCAAGTTAAGTCATCCCCTGACGCCTCCAGGAGAAGGATGTAAACAGCCACAGCTCACCCAGCTGTTACCAAGAGAGGCCTCCCTTACAAGTTCAGGATCCCAATGTGCTGCAAGACCTTATCCCGAAATGCTTTGACATGCTGCTTTTGGCCATGTTTATCACTGAAATCCATCAAAACACATTAGGTTACTTGAGTTTACACTACATTAGAGTTTGGGTCTTTTATCAACTTCTTCCAGAGTTTTGAGCTCAGAGGAGAAAGAAACTAATATCTACATTTTTCAACGTACAATGCTTCCCAATGGAGTCTTAATGTTTAACAAACCCCACCCCTGTAACATGCCTGCAAAGTAAATATTTTATAAATAAGGAGAAAAAAGAAAAGATTAAGTAATGTGCAAAAGGTCTTAAACCATCTACAGTACAGTTTGGTACATAGAAATGCATGCTTGCATCTCCCAGGAGGCTTAAACTCAGTGAAAAGAAACTACCAATCTACAGCTGAGAGAAGAAACTCTCACTAACACTGTGCTCAAAAATTTTCAATTCAGATTTTGGTATCAAACTTTTTCAGTGAGGAAAGCTTGCTGCAATATAGAAAGACCCTGGAAAGAAGGCTGCTGGGTGCATGAGTTGCCCCAGGTGAACAAGAGACCTTACAGATGAACTAAATCCAAAACTACAGAAAAGCCTTCACTTTTTAAAAAGCATTTATTTGAAATCACTGCAAACAATCACATTGAAAGGAGTTCTGCTACAACATACAAGTTTACTCAGCTACAATATATAAATTCTGTTGTTCCTGCTGATGCCCAGAAAACAGCTTTTAGCACACAACAGCAGAGGGGAAACTAAAGCACAAATTCAGAGATGCTATTCAAGTGCCTGCAGACTATGAAGCAGCTGAAAGGTCACACTACATTCACACTGTGAACTCCAAATGCTCAACAAAGAGAGGCATGGGGGCAGGCGTTACAGCTAGAGCCAGGGTAAGAAAGGTTTTAACACAGGTGGGCTGCGACACAAAGTCTACAAGGGTTCAAACCAAGTCCCCACATCTGTAGGTCTGGGCCCCTTCTCCAGGTCGGTTCACACATCATCAACCTCTTCCAAAAAGCACAGACCCACAGCAGAGCCAAAATGGCCTTTCCATACTACTTTTAGCCAAATCCCCACATAAAAGTTTTATTCTCTACTACCCAAATATTTAGTCGTGCAGTATTTCTCATAGCTCAGAGACAGGAAAACCAGGTATTAACCACTCCTGCCATGGGCATAGCTGTGGTACTGGGGAACTCCGCAGGAGCTAGTAGTCCTCAAAGTAGGTTTCTCAAGCAGGTTTTGCACGTTGGCACCAACCTCCCTGCTATTACAGTGGCATTGCAAGCGACAGCCAGCCCAGCCAAGCTAAAGCTATTCCCAGTGTATTTACACAGCCTAAAAACTACCCAAAACGTATATATTTTGGTATCACCAGGCTTTAAAACAACACCATGCAATACAAGAAACAGCAATATTCTACTAGACCTTTACATAGTTTCCCTAACTCACCTCTGTTCATCTACAGCTTGCAGCAATGATCAGAGTAAAACAGTTCGAACTTGAACTGCCTCAAGATAATAAAGCATCTTAATGAACTGAGATTAACAGAGTCCAACGTACTGAAGTAGCCTAAACAAGTGAAATCCCATAGAGAGAGGAGGCATCCCCAGCAATTTCAGCTGCAAGATTAAGTCCTTCTTGCCAATATGATTTTAAGTTAGGTTGATGGTTAGACTAGATAATCTAAAAAGTCCCTTCCAACGCAGACAATTCTATGGTTCTATGATAGATTAGGTAGAAAAGATAAAAACCTTGAGAATGCCAGAAAGGGTTCTCGCTGGCTGAGGGAAGGCAGCTTTGAGATGTCAGCCGGGGGGCTGTAGCTGAAACAATAACCCCACTCCCCAGTGAGGGCAGGAGAAGCCAAATTCTCCAGGAAAAGCAGCAATTGTAGCTGAAACAATAACCCCACTCCCCAGTGGGGCAAGAGAAGCTAAATTCTCCAGGAAAAGCAGCAATTTAGCACTCAATCTCAGCATATCAAGCCATAAAACCCCAGAGCTGTGGGGCAGAAGGGGGGTCTCCCTCCCACCCCCCAGCACCAGCCTTACCTGGGCAGGTCAGCGCTGCAGACAATAGCGGCGGAGCCGGCGAAGGGAACAAGCCAAGCCCAGGGAGCTCCCCCGCACCCAGCGGCGGCACAGCAGCCCCGGAGCCCGCACCCTTACTCGGGCTTACCGGCCAGGAGCCGCCCCCGGGACCGGCGCGGTGTCCCCGTCCCTCCGCAGCCCGCGGGGACCCCCGCCGCACGGCGCGGAACGGCACGGCACGGCCCCTGCGCGGGAGGCGGGACCGGGGCGGACCCCACGCGGGACCGCGGCTCCAGCTCGCCCCGCACCGCCCCCGCCAACAACAGCGGCCGTGAGCGGGCCCTCGGCACCCACCGACACCATCCCCGCTCCCCGGGGAATTAACGGGCATCCCTAACGGAGGAGCTCAGGGGCAGAGGGAGAGACTGAGAGCTCCTCGGCAAACAGCTTTTTTTGGTTTGGTTTTCCTAAATAAAGGAGCAACGAAAATAAAGACATGGGCAAACAAGTTTTATTTAAGAGCGTATTGCTCCGGATAAATATTTGGACATGGAGACTTCAGGGGCTGGGGAGGGAAGGATAAATAAACATCAAGAAGGCATGTTTCATAATGAGGGCAGGTCAGTGTAAGTGTTCCCCTGTCTGCCCGGGCAGGATCCCCAGAGACACGGTTACTTCACACCAGGAACAGAGACAAACGTTTTTCACAAGTGGCAATATGCTCTTTGGGGTGTGATTTCCTAATTCAGGGCCTCTTTTTTATTAAAAAAAAAAATAAAAAAAAAATAAAAAGAGTTTGTTGAATGCGTGCATCAACACTAAATAAACATCAAGAAGGCATGTTTCATAATGAGGGCAGGTCAGTGTAAGTGTTCCCCTGTCTGCCCGGGCAGGATCCCCAGAGACACGGTTACTTCACACCAGGAACAGAGACAAACGTTTTTCACAAGTGGCAATATGCTCTTTGGGGTGTGATTTCCTAATTCAGGGCCTCTTTTTTATTAAAAAAAAAAAAAATAAAAATAAAAAGAGTTTGTTGAATGCATGCATCAACAGCAGGAGCAAACAGCTGCTCTGTTCATAGCCCAAAGATTGGATAAACCCTTCGGCCACAAAATTAGGGCTCATCCCAGCCCCAGCAACCTCCCCGTGGTCCCACCAGCTGGTTAAATCAAGCTGCTCTTGGGGCTGTGATCTAACCTTGGATCAGCCTGTCAGCTCCGCTGCAGAGCACATCCTGCCCAGAAATGAAAGAAATACATGCTCATTATCTGCTAAGGGCTTAATTATTTCTTGTTAATTGGAGGCAGGCTTGTTTCATTTGTTACTCCTGACTGTTGAAAAAATCTGTTTCCTACTTTGATAACTCACAAGTTGCAGATCAGAAGAGTGCTAATTGCAGTCTGAGTGAAATAATCACTGGGCTGTACCGCATTTAAGCTCCAGTAAGAACCACTACTGAGAGCTATTGCCTTGATCTTATTTGAAATCAAGGAGTACTAGTGGTGAACAGAGAGCATCACGGATGCTGGCGTAGCGTTTGGTCCTTACTCAAAAAAAAGGAAGTCATCCCTCTGTGCAGTGGGAGGGGAGCAGAGTACACACCCGAGCACGGGACATGAGGCTGGCTGCTGTCATCCGTTTAATATTTAGCCAGTCAATATTATTCAATCTGAAAGTAGGCATTGTGACCCAGATGTGACCCCTTACTCTTGACTGGGTTTCCTTTTCAGAGACCTACCCGCCCCCCTGCCGTGCTGGAGCAGCTCTCACTGATGCCGACTGGGATTGCTGTTTGTGGCTGTGGAACCACCTGCTTTATTTCCACCCTGAGGTGATTTTCTGAGCTTCATCAGTCTGTTCCAGTTCACTTATATCTCCTCCCCAAGACTGAAGCCAACAGACCCCTGACTTCCAGCCTCAGGGAGCCAAGGATTTTCACAGACAGCAAAACAAACAGCTGAGCCATGGAGATAATCAGAGAGGATGGCAGCAGTAGAATCCTCAGGACATTAGAGATGTGGAACAACTGGCAGACAAAGTTCCAGATGAGAGAAGAAAGCATGGTGCACAGGAGCTGGTGAAAAGGAAGAGAATTGTCATGGCAATGATGTTTTCAGAAGAGGTTCAGTTTTCAGTGGGATATAAATGTTGTGAGACCATGAGTTCTTGTTGCCTTCCCTCACCCACCCAACACAACTAACAAGCCTTTCAGTATAAGTATTATGTCCTACAAGAGACAAGTTTAAACCTCAGCTCTTCAAACTGCTCTGTTTACATCAATGCTTGTATATGTGAAGAGCTCCAGGAGAACTAAGTGATAGCCTAGATAAGTCCGAGCTCATCGTTGGCATTGTTTCTCTAGCCTTTGAATAACAACAATTTAAAAAGTTCCTACACTGACTTGGTACCGCCTTGGTGGTGTTAACGATGTCAGAAATGAGTGATCACATGCTAAAGCTCAGTTTCAGGGTGTGCTGGTCAAACAACTGCAGGAATTTAAGATGATACCAATCCTTAGCTATTCCACCCTAACCAAGGTTACTGCTCCAGCAGAGCTGGGGGAAGCAGACACACGAGTGCCTCAGCTGCTGCAATTCACAATCCCCAGCAATCTAAGTGAGGAGACAAGACTGAGAATAGTGACAGGGGAGACACAGGCCACCCTTCCCTCTGAGCCCCTGCTGCAAAGGGACATAAAGTCAAGGCACAGGGACAGAAAAGACACACAAGCCACTAATCTCTTTCACTACCTCAAATATATCTTTTAGGATTTGGATAAAGCTTAAGAAGATTGGGACTGCCATGTTTGCAAAGAGACTTCTGGCTTCTGCTCTTACCAAGCAAGTGAAACAAGTTTAATTTTTAGCCACATACTCCACTGTAAGAAATACAAAGCAGCTTTCAGAAATACCCAGTATCAGCCATACACACCAGGAGAGTTTCCACATACAGGTGAGCTAAGCTTCTTATCTCAGAGGAATAGGTAGCAATTTTCATTGTTTCAAATTAAATTCTCAAGAACTTTTTAAATATGTAGACATGTCTTTAAATATATATACACACTTATACAGTATACATATATGATAGTTACTCTACACAATTTTGTGTTGCCTTTACCTTGTCTACAACAGGAGTCATTCCAAGTAGGAAAGACAGAAAGAGGTTTCTTGTTAGTCATTAACTAAGCAGAAACCAATCTTGCAGCTTTCTCTTATCCAAGAGGCAGGGAAATCAGGCAGAGGTAAGACACAAAAGCAGTAGATATGCAGAGAGGTAGCCTGGTCACACTACTCACCATCACAATGTTGCAGAGAACATTCTTCTCAACACGGGAACGTCTTATCTTCTGGCTCTGAGACCAGCTGTTTGAGATTGCGGCAAGAAAACTTGGTTTTTGGCTTTTCAGTTTTGAACTCAGATAAGCCGGTTTTGGCTTCAGTTTACCCAGAGATCCCCTGGATTGCATCTCCTCTTGTGTTTCTATGCTGGATGAATCATTCTGGTTTTCTTCCTCTGTTAGATCATCCTCAAATTTAGAGTCAGAATCAGGCTCATCAGAATATTGTTCCTTGATTTCTTCTGCATTAGGAGCCTGTACTAAAAACAGGTTTAAAAAGAATGTTTAATACCTGTAACATGATTTTTCCCCTCTAACTACAAGCCTTACACATTCCATCTAAGAGCTGGGCAGAGTTCTTCTGAATCATATTCAGCTGAAATAAAGGATTTCCAAGCCAAATTTATTGTAGAGGCAATAAGAGGCCTCTACAAGTGTTTGATTTTAACCAATTAGCTCGTAATCAGCAACTATATTAAAGGAGGAGCTGAAAGATACAATGCTTTTTACTTATACTGCTGTAAAGCAGCATAAAATAAGCAGGTATGACTGAATTAGACAGGAAGATATTTAAAAGAATGTTTTTATTTTATTCTCTTGAGTAGTTGAGAAACACTTTAATGCTGTAGTTCTGTAAACATACAAATATGGAAAAACTCAGTAACATGTGTAGTCATGTTTCTTAAAATGGAATTTAGAACAATTGTGTAAATCCTTGGAGGCCCAGTGCTAACAACAGTCACCTTTGGGCCAGAAATTGTGAAGATAAATACAGTACATACAACCTGAAAATCTTATTTAAGGCATCAAGATATTCCAGAGTTACTCTGTCCAGGCAAAAAGCTGACCTTCAACCTGAGTGTAAGTATGTGGCACAGCTACTCTTTGCCTATGCAAAATAGATATTTTATTCTGCTCTTCAGGCACCAGCAGTAAGTTGTGCCTGTGCTGTTCAGGGTAGCTTCTGCCATTGTCAGAGCCTCTTACAACCTGTGCTTTTAATTACTATGATTGGTTACCCACAAGAGCGCACTTGAATGCATGGAAGGAAGATACTTTACTCCTGCAGCAAGCAGAGGCTGTTATGAACATCAATTATGTGCAAACCCTGCAGAATGGGAGCTGAAAGACAAAAATACAGCATGCACTCGCATGCAGGACAGGAAAGGAGGGAGGAGTACTATGAGCCTCTGCTGTGGTGAGTGTCTCCTGTTCTGCTGCTGTCTGTGGGTCCAAAGGAATCATCTTGTTGCTGCTCCTGTGGGATCTATTACAGGACTGGATACCACATTATTACGAAAGAACTAGAGGGCACCAAATAAAAGTTTGCTGAAGTCAAACTTTGTTCTTATTTTTCCTACAGCTGCTCTGCAAAGGCAGAATCACTGCTTTTGACCTTAACGATTGATTCCTCAGCTGGGATTGCTTATGCTCAAGGATTAGAGCAAACTAGCAAGGCTTTATCCTCAGCAGTACATCAACAAGCCTATTATTAGCCTAAACCAAAGCCTGTTATTAGTTAATGGCATGTTAGAAATAAGAATCAGTGATGCAAAGAGGAGCAAAATACACAAATAAATTAAAATGTATGTCTTGCTCCCTTCAAAAATTTTCTATCAGCCTTAGCATTGATAAAGGAATCCCTTCACAACTCCCCCAGTAACATACACAACCCTCTCTCACAAAAACAGAGAAATGTAAGAACTACAATGCCCAAGTTTGAAAGTGTACAAAATTAGAGGTTGGGGGGGGGGTTTAGCTGTTTTTTGGTTTTTTTTGTTTCATAGAAATGTATAGAAATTACTTCTCCTTTGCCTTTATTAAATTAAATTACCTCTGAGAAAAAGAGAGGGGAGGGGATAAGGAAGAACACCTGGCAGCAGCTTGTCTTAGAAGCATTTTTAAAAGAAAAGTATATTAATTTGAGTTTGATTTTTCCATACCTTACTAACACTACTAAAAAACCTCTTAGTTTCCTCCTGTGACAAATAGCATTAGCCTAAAAATAGCTAGCAGAGTGCTTTAAAGATGAAGCTAATAGATAAAGCTTTTATGCAGGAGCATTTTATGTTATTTTATCAACTCTAGAACTTACCTTCATTAAGTAGAAGTTGTAGCCAGATAATGATTATGATCAACAGCATTACAAATGGCAAACAAAGCCAGAAGAAAAGAAGATGAAAGGTCTGGTCATTCACTAAAGGAACCAGAGGGTACTTCATTGCTTGCTTCAGGTTACGCTAAGTTTAGAACAGCCTGCCTGCTCCGCTTTACTAACTACCTTTTAATAACCCTCATTGCATCACTGTGCAAATTGCAAGAAGACCGCTGAGATACTCAGCAGGGTTAGCAAAAGGGACAGCCCTTTTGCTGGGCTGGAATAAGGAGGGGAGGGAGTAATAAGGATTAAACATGGGATAAGAAGAAATGAGAAAACATCTGATTGTCCTTCCTTCAGTTGCTATTTAAAGGACAAGTACAAGTGAGAAAGCTTTCAAGGCTATGTTAAAGCAATAGTTAAAGGCATGTTTATGTCTTCTGTAGGGGAGATAACCAAGAGCTTCAGCCACTTTGAAACTGGGTAGCTAAGGTTATGTTTGAGAAATCAATAAAAGAGAATCAACCCTGCAGAGATGTGTAGAGGCTGAGTAGCTAAAAATCACTTACCCCAGGCTTTCTTATTTGACATGGAGCACAAATGTGTCCCATATTAACATGGAGTCTATTTTTAGCCTACTTTCTGTGTTTCTATCTATTAGTGAATCCATTAGGAAAATAAACCTTTGTATTTTCATTGCCTTTCTAGCTCCCTACCCTCCAAGAAAGGCAAGCAAGCATGTTTCATAGGATATGTGTCCATAAATGTATTCCTTAATAGTAAAGGAGTTCAGTAGTGACCAAAATAGGCACAGATATGTGACTTTGGTAACTTGATATTCATTACACTGTGTGTTTCTCCTTCAATAAAATAAAACCATTATCTATTGCTTACCACACAGGGGGTTGTTTGGCTACATTAATTGTTTGTGTAGCTCTCAGCAAACCTCAGACAACAGAAGCTGTGTAAGTGCACATTATGAATGATTGCATGCATTTAACGTTCTTGCTTGTGTGCATGTGTTTGTTTTTATATATTAACAGCCCCTTGAAATGAGCCTTTTAATCCCAAGATCTAAATGAACTTTGCAAATTCTCATTAATTCACGTTAATAACAACCCTTTGTGATAAAAGAAAGCTATTATCCCTACTTTGCGCATTGGGTAAACAAGTGAGAAAAGCCATTAAATGACCTGAGCTTCAAGGATGCTAAATATTTGCGGTCCCCATTTCACCCAGCGGGTTGGTGGCACTTTCTGAAAACCAGGCTGTTGGTGGTTTGTCGGCAAAGGCTGTGACAGGAAGGAGCTGATCCCAGAAATCGTGACTTTGGTTTTCATGGTGAAGTGTTTCCCTTGGTCAGGAGGGACCATCTCTTTGGGGTCCATCCCGGCTCTCCACAGGGCCCAGCCCTTGGCTGGGTTGGGTGGGTGGCCTGTCCTTCCCTCCACCACAGTGGTGGGACGGTTCCCACCTGCTGTGTCTATCTCCCATCCAGCAGACACCTGTGGAAAAGGCCAGGACATCTCCACCGCGGCTGGCACCCCTTTTTTCCTCAGGGAGATGTGCACTCTGAGTGCTCTGGAGGCCTCGGGGAAGCAGCCCCTGTGCGAGGGACCCCACAGGGCGGGCTGGCACAGGCGAGGGCCGCCCAGTTTCACTCCCACGCCGGTCACAGACACCGGGGGAGGGTCTGAAGGTCCGAGATTGACTTGGGTGTCCCTGTGTGAGAGAGAGGTTGAGGGGGGACGGGACCCGCCGCGGACCGGAACGTGTGTCGGTGCCTGTGTTGCCGGCCGGAGGCGGCCGGGAAGGGCACAAGATGGCGGCGGCCTCACGGGTGTTCGCCTTCCGCGACGCGCGCTGGGCCCCCGACCCGGTGCTGGAGCCCGGCGCGGCCGTGAGGACTCCGCAGCCGGTGCCGCTGGTGATCGACAACGGCTCCTTCCAGA